CGCCTAAGCTCCAAATAAGAACAAGCCTCACAACGGCCTTTAATACGGGGTAGAGAAAGCTCCCCTGTGTTTGGCTGTACCGGCTTGAGAAAGCTCGCCACCTGGGAAGACGGCTGCTGTGTCTGTTGAGTTCAGGGTGGTCGGCATGAGGCTGAGGTTCTCCTAACCAGTATGCATGTCCCATGTCTGTAAACCCACCCTATCCTGTCTTCCTATTTACATGCTTGTATGTAAGTGCAGTGCAGTCCAAATAAAATTGAGCTGGATTGACTCTCTGATCCTCTCCCAGAGTTGTGTATCTCCGTCATGCTTACCCCATCAGGGTATCGCTGTAGGTTGCTGGCAAACTGACAGTGACAACTCACCTCAGGGCTCACACACTCTCAGGTACGGTCACCTCATGGTAATGTGAGACCCACCAAAAGGCCAGCTAAGCTGTCCCAGAGGAGCAGAAATATTCTCCCCACCCCAACCCTCTGGCACTTTCTCGGTAGTTCCAACAGAGGTGTCTGGCCGGGTCCTCCTTGATCTGCGTCCTGTGCCTATTTCTGATGTCAGTCACACTGGGGTCCCAGACCTGTTCTGGATGCCAGGCTGGGGTCAGCCCCACCCTAACCACAGTGACAAGGGGTGAAGATGGGGCAAGTCCCAGAGAACATCAAATGCTGTTTGTAGCAGGAGGGGGACGGATGCTGGGCTGAGGCCACCACTTTGGCAAGATCCAGAGAGGAGGAAGTCACGTTCACAACCACACCCCCTGCCCCAAGTCCCATCCCAGATGGAGTGAGCTGAGCGCCAAGAAGTCTCTGACACCAAGCCCAGCACTTTCACTTTCCACTGCTTCTCCTCAAGTTGATTATAAGTTTAGGTTAGGTTATCAGAAACCCTAGGCAGGAAGGGCAAGATCTCCTGACGGGTCCGTTGAGCTAAATGGTGGGTAGGGCCAAGGCCAGGGCTTCCAGGGCACTCCCAGGGACTGTAGGAAGGATCCACTTTCACTTTCAGGACAGCACCACGTGGATGCTTGCTAGTTAGATAGCTCGTTAGTCCCTGCAAGCTGGAATCTGCACTTAGCTTCACTTCTGAGGAACAAGATGACCTCATCGAGGGTCCCACAGAGTGTCCACTAAGAGGAAGCTGATCTGACCCAAGTCCCCATGGTCAGCCCATGCCACCCACCTGCTTGGATTCTTTACTGCCCAAGCTTTGTTCTTCTGGTTCTCTGCAGTTCTGTTAACAGATACATCTTTCCCTAGAAGCTGACTCAAACTTCTGGAAGTGGGCAGGGTGTGCACATAACCAACGACTGAGCACTCAGACCTCAGAGAGCCTTCCAGGACTCTGTGGGACATAGCAGGGGTGACTACAGTTTCTGGAAGCTTCCCAGATAGAGCTAGTTCAAATCTCCACTCTGCCACGTTCTACCTGTGTGGACATGGACAAGGCCTTTGGTCTCTTTGGGCCTCAATTTCCTCATCTGTAAAATGGATGTGATGTCCTAACTGACCCCATGCATGGAAAGAGATTGCCAGTGAGGTCAGAAGTGTACGTCCCCTCTCTCTTGTCCCAGCTTCCTTAGCTGGGGTTCCCCTTGCCATGCTACACTCCCAAGGTGCCCTGGTCCACTTACGGCCATAGAAGAGCCTGGGTTGGGGGCCTGCTGAGATCCTGGATGCTGGAGAGGGGGGCCACAGCCACAGCCCTTTGCACGTGCCTTCCTCTCTCCCCTGTTCTCAACGGTCTCACTCTCTGTGTGGGTTCCCAGCACTCCTTTGAGACACATGGGTCTCAGGTGGAGCCCAGGGCAGGAAGAGGCCACCAAGGTCATAGAGCAAGGGCAGAAGGGCCGGAAGGGCCAGGAGAGCCGGTCACCAGAGCCTGAAAGGTTAGCTGAGGTTATAGGGACCAGCCCTGATGGAACTGGGGCCAGCCTGGGACCCCTAACTCGACAGGGGAGACCTCAGAGTCACTCAAGGGTGGGGGACTGTGATGCTTGAGAGGACTGGGTGACCTATCTAGGGCACAAGAGGCTGATCTCGGTAGTGAGGACACAGGAGGCCAGAGGTCCTGACCCCTCTTTTCCTTCCAGATTCAGCCTCCCCCACTCTAGTAACTCCTATAGGGAGAAGGTGCTGATGCGATGCACTTGCTCAGCTCCCTGGGAAGGTTCATGTGTGGAGGCCAGGTCTGCTTGGCTTGCTGGCCAGAGAAACCTGGAGGGGAAGCAGCAGGCCGCCGAAGCTCAGCTGCCCCCTAGCTGTGGGATTTTTGTCCCTGTCTCCTGTTCAAGCAAAGACTCCTCCAGCATCTGCTGGGTGGGAGGTGCTGGTCTAGGTGCTGCGGAGACATCTGTTACAGAGATCCGGAAACAGAGCTCGCCTCGCCTTCACATGACCTCGAGTGAGACAAAAGTACACTCTGGCTCTTTCCAAGGAGGCCTGTCGATTTTACATATCCTCTCCTTCCGCACGGGAGGGCTCTGCCGCAAACATGCTCCGCCACATCTTCAGTCAAGCCAAGAAGCACCCAAGCTTGATGCCTCTCTTTGTGTTCATTGGAGCTGGAGGTACTGGAGCAGCCTTGTATGTCATGCATCTGGCGTTATTTAATCCAGATGTCTGTTAGGACAGAAAGGATAACCCAGAACCGTGGAACAAACAAGGCCCCAACGATCAATACAAGTTTTACTCAGTGAATGTGGATTACAGCAAACTGAAGAAAGAAGGCCCTGACTTCTAAATGAAATTCTTTTCTTAAAAGCCACTTAGAATGAAGGTCTTCCAGAAGCCATCTGCACTTCTCACTTAACAAAGATGTTTCTTCCCTAAATGCATGAAATCACATTAGTGTATCGTGTTGGAATTTATACTGAATAATAAATAAAGTAAAACTTGGGGGGTGGGGAGTACACTCTGGGCTACTGAGGTGAATGGTTTAAACCCACCCAGAGGATTTAAACTCATCCCGGAAGAAAAGCCTGGTAACCTGCTTCCAAAAGGTCACAGCACGAAAACCCTGTGCAGTCGCCCTACTCTGCGCACACAGGGCTGCGTGTGTTGGAATCAACGGCTGGTGTCGCTCAGTTCCTTTTCTTGCCCTCAAGGAGGCTCCATGCTGGGGAGGCTGGGAGCCCTGGGCAGACAGTAACAGGTATAAATGAGGGAGTTATGTACATAGTTTTAATTTGAAGAGAATCCTAGAGCAAGATCAAGGATTTAGAAATAAGGAGTGAGGGTGGATCAGCTTCAACTTTAAACAAAGTTGTCAGGACGGCCACACTGAGAGTGGACACTCCTCTGGAATTGTGCAGAGGGAGGCGCGGGGCAGGCCAGTGCAGTGGTTAGCTGGTTACTTGGGAGCCCAGCTGAGGGGAGGAGGCAGAGGTGGCTGAGAACAGAGGCCTCGGACACCATGGGGCTCTTGCTCTGAGCACTGGGGGCTCTGCACAGAGGCGGCACAGGATCTGACAGGGGAATAGAAGGGGAAGAGCATCTGTGTCAAGAGGGACAATCAGGACGTGGCTGCAGGTGAGAGGAGCAGGTCAGTGAAGTGTTGCTCATCTGTTACAGGTAGATAAGAGGGGTGCCAGCCTCTTGGGCTGCTAAGCAAAGCTGCATGGGGCCAGGCACACGGGATCAGCCCCAGCCACCTCCTGCTCATTCCCACAGTCTCACAGAGACAAGGGCACACCCAGCTTGGCCCAGCAGGTGAGGGGTGCCCAGACAGGGATCCCGCTTTCAAGTCTTCCCAGCTACTAAGGTTCTAGTGGCCTACAGGTAAGGAGGTGCACTGCCAACCCAAACGCAGGAGGTTCTAGCCCACCAGTTGCTCCATAAAATATAGGCAATCCCCCCGTGTGATATCCAGCTTCTAAAAATCCACTGGAGGGTCAGCTAAGAGTTGGTTCTGATTGAACAGCACCTAAGAACACAACAAGGTTCTGGAAAGGCTGTAGGAAATCACGTGCTCTTGGGTGGATGACAGGAAACTGGGTGTCTTCTGGAAATGGGAAAGGTGACCTCCTCTGCATCCTTGAAGGGCAGAGGTACTGAGGGAGGGAATGAGAAGCTTCAACAGCCTGGCTCTCTCCGTGAGCTGATCAGATGTGGCCTGTACGCTGAATGATCAATGACAGGATCCACTGAATGTTACTGGGGACAAGGCCGTGCTTGGAGACTTAAGACCTAAGGGGAGATGATAGGTGGAGGACCTAGAACAGTGACGTGTGGGCCGCTGTCACTCAGTGCTCATTTATGCCTCCTGTTCTTTGTTAACTCACCAGAACAAAAGCCAACACTAAGGCATGCTGTCAGCAAGGGCTGGTCAGTTCTCATGGACATGGAGTCCAAAGAATAAGACATACAATAGCTATATGGCTTGTTGTTGTGAAGTGCCACCAAGCCGAGTACGACTCATGACCCTATGAACGAGCATCTGACTGTCCTATCCGTGCTATCCTCACAATCTCGGACACACTCAAGCCCATTGACCCCTGCACATTCCGAAATGGCCCTTAGGGGGCAATCTCGTTATTCAGGAGCCCAGCAAGGGGGCAGCTCAACCGCTGGCAAATTTAGGATGATGCCAAGGGCCAAGTACAGAACGTGGACCGCAGCTCCCAGAAACAGGACCTGATCCTGGCTCTAGCATGGCCTCAGGTCATAGGGCTCTCCCTTCTGACTCTAGGGTCCTAGGCTGACCACATCTTTTTATACGAACTCCCTACTCGGGAAAAATCCAAACTAGAAACTTCAGATTTCTGTTCCCGGCCGCGTACTTGGTCCGAGGGGGGGAGGGGGGGATGGAGTGGATTTGCCCTTGTCCTTTAACTCTCAGCCCTCGGGACGTGAAGGGTTAAGGCTGGCGGCCGCGCAGAAGCCTCCTCGCCTCTAGAGGGCGCACTGCACCGGCACAGCCCGGCCGCTGGAATGATGTAGAGCGAGGGCAGGCCCAGACGAAGAATCAACCAATGGGTTGTGCTGTTGGTGGGCGCGATAGCCAATAGGAACAAGGAGCGGGGGTCCGCGACTAGAAAGAAACGGCGGCCGAGAAGGGGCTACTGGGACCATGGGTCTTCTGACCATCCTCAAGAAGATGAAGCAGAAAGAGCGAGAGCTGCGACTGCTCATGCTGTATCCTCCCAGACGCCGGAGACGTGATGGTAGTGGGATCCCCCATAGAGGGAGGCGGCACCAGGCGCCCCCTACCGGGCGCGGGGTGCGCGGCCGGCCGGTCCGTACCAACTGCCCATTGTGCGTCACGCACGTGGGCCCTACCAATCGCTCCTGGCGGGGGGCGGAGGAGGCCGTACCATCGGCAGGGGCGGGGGGGTGCCTCAAATCTAAAGGCCAAAGGTGTGGTTCTGAAAGGTTCCGCGGAGGAACCTGGTGCCCCAAATATAGCGGAGAGGAAGGGGCTAGAGGTGGCCCAGATGTCACTATACGGCAGGTTGGCTGGCTTGTCTGGCCGCTGTTCTCCGGGCTCTGACCTCTACCCCCGACCCCGTCCGGAGGTGCCGGTCCCCAGCTCCGCCCTCAAATTCGGAATCCCGGGGGCGCTGCCCTGCCTGCTGCCCCGGGCGTCCGAGCTCGGTGGCCCCAACTCAACTGTCCGTGTTTGCCCACGCCCTCCGGGTCCCTGTCACTGCCGACTCGAAGGGCACCGTCTTCATTCGCCTTCCCCTGTGTCGAAACATTGGACTTGCCGAACCCCGAGCAGGGCCTGCCACCCGGAGCTCCCCGTGCTGGGAGCGACATTTATATGCGCACTTAGCTCCAAAATAATATGTTCGCCGTGTCTATTTTAAAGCGCCCAGAGATAGGCACGGAATTCATTCATTCAAGAAACACTGAGAGCCTTCTGTGTGTGTCGAGCTAAGGGCTGGGTAAAACAGCAAAGCAAGGTCCCTGCCCTGGTGTAATGCCAAAAGGGAAAGAGAAATAAATAAAGCAAGCCACCTATATATCCAGGGTTAAAATGGAGCGAGCTAAGTTAGAGCTGTACAGAGGGGACAGCTGAGTGAATGCAGGGTGCATCATGCAGTTACCTGGCACAGACTGGTCAATGCAAAAGCGTCCGCGAGAGCAAAGGACTCAAAAGCTCAGGCGGCCACGTTCAAGGGCAGTGTTGCCAAAAAAAGTGAGCCACGGAAAGAGGTCCTGGTAGGAGAGGTGCAAGGCGAGCATTTTTCTCTAAGGAGACAACCGTGGCAGGTTCTTGTAGAGGGGAGAGATGTGGTCTGACTCTGCCTGCCTTGTGTGTTGCAAATAGAAGAAGCCTGATAGGGGGGCGTTGAAGTGATGCAGGCCGGATAGGAGACTAGAGCGTGCATGGGATCCCCCAGTGAAGGAGTATCGGGAGCCAAGGGCAAGAGTGTCAGAGTGAGGTAGAATGGAGGCTGGCAGGAATTGCTGCTGGATTGGAAACTGCAAGCACGTCCAGTGAAGCCTGAGCTCTTAGAAGAATGGGGAGCCGCTTGCTTAGTTGAAAGAGGGGAGTCCAGCAACAGCCCTGTGAGATGCCTCTGAACCCTGACAACAGTCAGGCGGCTGGATGCAGGGACTCGGGGCGGGGGGGCCTGGCTCCAGGGAGCAAGTGGCTGATCAGGGCGCATCAGTTTAGGAGTGAGTGGCATGTGAAGATGGTATTTACAGCCAGTGAGGGCAGAAAAGACGCAATGTACTTGGACCAAGAGGTCAGGGCAATGAGGGGCAGCGGCCTAGAGGTGGAGGAGACCCTGGGGAGGGCCTTTCTGTGTCCCAGGATAGAAGAGGCAGAGTGGGCTATCAGGTGCCATTGGAAGTCGCGTTGCACACCAGCCAGCCACTGGCAGACAGATGGAAGTCACAGGGAATGGCCTTGGAAAGAGCACTTTGAGGAGAGTTGAGGGAGCAAAGGTCACTGGGAGTGTTGGAGAGAGCTGCTGTGTGGAGCTCTGCGTAATGGAAATAAACAACCAGCTAGAGGGGAAGGAGGGAACAGAGAAGGGTTTGTTTTCTTTCAGCGGAGGTAGTTTGTCAGCTGATGGAGTGATCTTGTGGAAAAGGAATCATGGTTTGATGCCAAGAGAGGGTGGGGAGAAACCATCAGAGGCTTGGGGGGTACAGCTGGGTCCTCAGAGGTCTTGTCAACACCCCATTTCATGCTGGAGTCACTTGCCCAGGTCAGGTGAGCAGTAGGAGGCTAAGCTGAAGACTTGGATCCCTTTGCGCGCACACACACACACACACCCCCACCCCCTACAAGTTACCTTAAGTGTCAGGTGAAAAGAGCACAGTTGTACTCTCTCAGCTGGGGACAGTTGTTCAGAAGTGAAGGGCTTGGCCAATCCAGAAACACAAGAAGAAACAAGGAAGGACAGCTGCCCCCGAGAATTTCCTCACCAAGTGCCCTCTGCCTAGCGTGCCTTCCCTCAGTCCTTCAGAGAAATGGCTCCTTGTAGTCTGAGCCTCAGCTCAAGAACCCCTCTCCCACAGGCCAGTGCCTGAGCTAAGGGAACCCACTGGGATGACCCCCTCAGGGCCAGCTTTGGCCTTCTGGAACCAGCACCCTAAGCTTCTCATTGCACTTTGTCAGCTGTTCATGCTCGAGTATAAGCAACCCAGGGGCAGGTGTATGATCCCCTTCCCTGGGTACCCCAGGCCCAGTAAGGGAATCTGGCACATAGAAGGTACTGGTGAACATTTATTAAGGGGTGACTTGTCCACTTCCTGGATCAGGCAGAAATTATAAGAGTTTCCCTCTTGGTCTTTCACGTGTCTCCTGGGCCAGTGGTGGCCAGGTGCATGCTCAGCTTCATGGTGGGTGACAGTGCCCCCCACCTGCAGTGCACACCTTTCTCCTTAACCCAGTGTGCCCAGCGGCCTGGATAATGCTGGTAAAACAACCATCCTCAAGAAGTTCAATGGAGAAGACATCGACACCATCTCTCCAACACTGGGCTTCAACATCAAGACGCTGGAGCACCGTGGGTGAGCAAGGGGCCCAGGGTGGGCTGGGCAGGCAGGGAGGAGGAGAGACCATGCTTACTCTCCTGCTGCCCCTTCCTCTGCCCAGATTCAAGCTGAACATCTGGGATGTGGGCGGCCAGAAGTCCCTGCGGTCCTACTGGCGGAACTACTTTGAGAGCACGGATGGCCTCATCTGGGTGGTGGACAGCGCCGACCGCCAGCGCATGCAGGACTGCCGACGTGAGCTCCAGAACCTGCTGGTGGAAGAGGTGGGAGCCAGGCTGGGGGGACCCAGGGGACACCAAGGGGAGGCAGATACAGACCTTTCACCCAGCCTGGGAGGCCCGTGGTGCAGGCGCAGGGCACAGGCCGTGGATTGGTACCTGGGGGTCAGGCCCTGTAGAGTCACCACCTCACAACTCCTGCCCAGCATGGGGAGCTCAGGTAAAGGGGCAGGCCTGTCATTTCTGCTCAGAGTGGAACACCCGCCAAAAACCGCTAAGAGAGTGAGGAATGTTACCATACACCCCTGACCTGCTTTCCCGAAGGTGAGCACTGTATTTGCCAAAACTCAGAAATTAATTTTAATGGCACCTAATAATACTAGTGGCCTAGTCGGTAGGGATTCGGGTCGCCTAGTGATAAGAAGCTGTGCTGCCAACCCAATGGCCCATGGTTCAAATCCTTAGGCTGCTTTGCAGGAAGAAGATGGGCAATCTCCTCCCATGCGATTTACTGAACACCCATTAGAAGGTCAGCCATGGGTCAGTTCGACTCAACAGTACACAACAGCAACTAAGTCGTCAGAGAGTCGGACTGCCAACCCAAGGGTGGGAGGTTTGAATCCACCAGCTGCTCCCAGGAGGAAAATGGTCACTCTCCTCCCATGTGAATTACAGCCTCTGAAAACCCACCTGCTCAAAGACCTTGAGATTGTTTTGGTGGGCTTTGTTGCAGAGTTGGGATTTATTTTTTTTTCCTGAAGCTACAAACAGAGTTTAAATTTCTTGTTTTTCCACTAATGATATAATCATAAAAACTGGAGAAAGCCAAACAAAATCTGCAATGAAGAATATTTTACCAAAGTCCATTTCTTACGCTATTGGGGGAAATTTACAGTTTGATCCAGGAGCTCCGGTGGTGTGGTCTGTAGGAAGCCCTGTAGGGGGCTGGGTTCAGAGCGATTAGCTCCACAGGAGGAAGGCGGGCAGTGTCCTCCCATGCCCATTTACAGCCTTGGAAACCCCATGGAGCGTCAGCTCTGAGTCAGTTCTAACTGGGTGGTCGTGAGGGAGGAGTGAGTCAAAACCAGTTGCCATTGAGTCGTGACCGTTCAGGGGAGAGCTGTTTCCAGGGCTTTGGGAGGCTGGGACCTTTTGGAAGTGGATCTCCCTCTCTGGGCTCTTCTTCAGAGGTGACTCTTAGCGAGCTCGGACCGACAGTAAGCACCTCACCATGCGGATCACAGGGAAGCTGGATGTAGGCAACCACATTGCCCTTAGTTGCAAACCAGGACAGTGTTGAGAATGAAAGAGAGAGAAGGCATTGTTAACAGTTACTCGGGGGAGACAAAGGCAGATTAGCGATCACTGAGCTCACTGAGCCGGCTCTTCTCCAGCGGTTTCAGTCCACCAGCTGCTGTGTGGGAGGAAGAAGAGCATTCTCTTCCCGTGCAGTTAGAGCCTCCAAGAACCCACTGGGGGGTCGGCTATGAGTTGGTTCAGACTTAATGACGATGAGATGGACTTGAGGGAGAGCGATTTATGCAGGTACGAGAGGCATCAACAGGACTTCCTGAAGACTCGGGGACAGAAGGTCTCTCTGTGACAGTAGCCCTCTAACGGGGCAGAGCAGCTGCAAGAGAGCAGGATGGTGAAGTGCTCAGCCCAGGCCACACACAGATGCTCTTTGTGATCAGAGGCACATGGACGGAGCTCACACAAACACGCATCTGAAGAGCTAGAAGCAGTGTGTAAGGCTGCGGGGCGTGAACGGGTGCCAGGGCTGCAGAAATGTGGGAGATGGGAAGCCCCTGGGACCCTGCAATGTCACTTCCCCGTGCAGGCCATCCCTTTGGATCAAGCACTCTGTAATCACAGAAGGATCATCCTGCCTTATACACCACCCCCATTTATGTAAGAAGTGGAGGCACAGAGACCTGCGTAGACCACATGGGGCCAACCTCAGTGGCCTTGTCCACACTGGCCACCCCACCCTGACCTCTCCCACCACCACAGACCTCACTCTGAGCTTCTAGATTCATCTCTGACCCCAGCTCTGGGTGATGGGTGGAGGAGGCTGCAGAGCAGGGCTGGGATGCCCTTCAAACCTCCACCAACTGCACCCTCTGTCTTTTCTCTCCAGCGCCTGGCCGGAGCAACCCTCCTTATCTTTGCCAACAAGCAGGACCTGCCTGGGGCTTTGTCCTCTAATGCCATTCAGGAGGTGAGGCCAAACTCTGGGAAGGGGGCACAGGCTCTACATTAAGTCATGTATTTTATTTTATTTTAAAAGCACTCATTAGCCTCTGAAAAAGAGCAAGGATCACGTGCGGACCATCTGTGAACTTTGCCATCTTCACAAAGGGGCACTGTCCCTGTCAACAGCATCAATAATACACCACCATTCCCATGAGGTCAAACATTCCCTGCACTCCCATACCTCCTACCTCTTTCTACACGTCTCAGCACCAATATTGCTGCTTTACTGGGGCCACAATCCTACGTGACAACTCACATAGAACCATCCTGAAAAAGTCCACAAGTTACAATCCCTGTAAGTGGCAGAATACAGGAAGGACCGCTTCTGAAATGTCACAGGCACCTCAACCATGAACCTTATGGCTTTAGGCCAGTGTTACAATGTCTCTGTCCTTCGAATTATGGCCCCCTCACCCCAATTGTCCAACAAACTTGGCTTTTAGCTCTAGTTCCAATCGGTGTAGCAGTCCCAAGACCCCATCTCACGTCTGTGGCTGTGACTGCTGCAGAAGTAGGTGTAGCTGGAGCAAGAATTTCTGCACCAGGATGACCTGTTTACACTCTTGCTGCTGCTTCTTCACTGATGAGGAAGGGCTAACCTGCTACTGGAGCTGTTTAATTTGTTGCCAGGACTAGCCAGTCCTCTTCACGATTGCTGTTGAGACTGGCCAATCCCCTTGCAAAATGGTGAGGTAGCCAATCCCCTTTTGGATCAGCTAAACGTCCCTATTTGCATATTCCTGCCTATCCACATGGCCAGGCCAGATTCAATGGCTAGGAAAGTCATACTGAAGGATAAACCCCACAACCTCCAATCATATGGTGGACCCATGAGGGCACTGGCAGTTCAGTGGTTAATAGGCCTAGTGATGCCCCTAAAAAGCTTGACTCCTAAACAAAAAGTTGGTTCAAACTCACTTCTAGTTTCTTGGGAGAAAAGACTTTGGTAATCTGCTCCCGTAAGGGTTACAGCCCCTGACACCCTGTGAGGCAGTTCTGCAGCTCAGTCCTGCCCAGGGCTGCTGTCGTTGTTAGGGGACTCACAGCAGAACAAAACCGCCGCCCAGGCCTGCACCATCCTCGCAGTTGCTGCTCTGCCTGTTGCCACCACGGTGGATCCACCTCGTTTAGGCTTTTCCTCTTTTTTGAGGCTGTTTACCAAGCGTGATGCTCTTCCCCAGGGTCTTACCCTCCTGACAGTTACCACCAGATTATGTGAAACAGCTAGAGTTAGCAAGTTGCTCAATAGTGATGGTGTGATGGGTACAGAGAGGACGTGGGAGAGTGAAGCAGGGCTGCAGGTAGGCAGGGCCTGTGGTCACCAGCCCTTCCCCCCTCCCTCCGCCCTCCCAGGCCCTGGAGCTGGACTCGATCCACAGCCACCACTGGTGCATCCAGAACTGCAGCGCTGTCACCGGGGAGAACCTGCTGCTTGGCATCGACTGGCTCCTGGATGACATTTCCAGCCGCATCTTCACGGCCGACTGAGCTGCACCCAGCACCCACCTCCCAGCCCAGGCCCCTCAGACCCCACCAGGCGCCATCCATGGGGGAACAGAAGTCGGTCAGGCGGACTAACACTCCTTGCCCCTCCGTAACCTGCTGCTGCTACTGCTGCCCGCTGCTGCTGCTCTGCGGCCAGTCAGCTCCCATGGCAGGATGGCTGCCACCCTGGCTGCTCCCCTGGCTCCCAACCCTGCCCACCCGCGGCTGCCACACTGAGAAGGGGAGCTGAGCCTGGGAGGGGCTGCCTGTGCTGCCCCCAAGGCTGTGGGCCCATCCTGTGCTCAGCTGTGAGAATAAACCACTCCTTGCTCTGTCTCCTCACTGGTCAACTTCGAAGAGAAACCCTAGGATCCCTCGCGATGGACCAGGGGCAGGAGGAGCAGGTGGCCTCAGTTTGTGGTTAACCAGGCACATGGGTGCGAAGGTACAACATGCACAGAAGTGGCTCCCAGGAACCGTGGAGCCCTGCGGTGTGGGCCAGAGTCTGACAGAGCCCAGGCCGTCAGGCCATCTCGTGTGCCCCTTGGTAACCCCTACAAGCAGTTCATCCACCCTTTGTTTCATAACATTGATTTCAGTCCCCACATGCAGCAGCCTTCTTCCCATGCCTGTCTTAGTCTCCACTTGTCCTCTTTCCTCTCCCTGCCTTCTGAGCTCATCCCTGGGCAGAGGCTGCCCTCTGATCTCGTGTGGTTGACTGTTTTAAAGCACATGTTCCTCCTTACACACATGTCTGCTGTCTACAAGGGGTGGCTGAAGAGAAGTCACAGGGTGAGTTCATCTCCAGGCTCAGAGGGTGGCTGAGGCCTCACCAGTGTCTGTGAGAATCCTTGGCCTGTAAATATCTCATTACTCCCAGTGCTGCTCATGGCAACAGAACTGGTAAAGGATCTGGAGGAGAGGGAGAAATCGGAGACAAGGAGAAAGAGTGGAGGGAGAGACGGAGGATAGGAGACTGGGGCCCCCTGCTTCCATCAAGAACTTTGGGGAGCAGGAGCCATATCTAAAGGGGTCCTCCAGGATGGCCTGAAATGACAGAGCTCCCCAAAACCAGGTGTCTGCCTGCTTCCTTCTGGAGACATCCCTCCTGGGGTCACCCACCTGGCTTCCCCTAACAAGCTCAAAGCTCCCCATTATCCTCCTCAACCCTCACAAACATCAGCTCAGTGTGGGCGCTCATGGCCCCAGGCACATGAGCACAGATCCCAGTTCCTGTCAGCAGCAGCTTCCCCATGGAAATCAGAGGGCCAGGCTCGAACTACAGTGCTGGGGGTCCAGAAGTTTCATATTACATAGCAAGCAACTGAGAAACTCCAGAAGCAAGTGGGCCCCAGCCCCAGCACTGTGTGCTCTGTGCTTCACATGAGATCCAAGAGTGCTGGAAGGGGTGCCTCCACTCCCCGTGGGCCCCGCAGGACACGGAAGGAAGAGCTGGTCCCTCTGGGGTGGAAGGCTGGAGAGCTGTACATAATCGCATCCACACCCTCTCATCATCATGGAGGACCCTGCAGAGGGGTCCCAAGGCTGTAAGTCATGAGGGGTGACGGCCCATCTCTATTCCATGGGGCCACTGGTGGATTCAAACCACTAGACTCACAGGCTTTGAATTAGTAGCAAAACTCCCTACCAACTAAACCACCAAAGCTCTCATCATAACTAGATAAAGCCCTGCAAACAGCCTGGGTGATAGCGGAGGAGGTGGGGGCCTGGCTGTGAGTAGGCTCTATCAGGAGCACCCTCATTCTATTCATCTTAAATGATGCAGGATGAACCAAAAGAAGATGGAAGGAATACTCCAAGACTACTGTCAGCTGAGGGAAAAGACGGGGGCACTCAGGAATGGAGGTCAGTCCAGAAAGGGTGAAGGTAGGGGGCTGACAGCTGGGAGAACTGCAGTCCCTATGCTACACCTTTCTGGGTTTTTATCCAGAATCATCAGGAGGTCAACAAAAGAGAATCAAGAGGGAAAAACAATCTCAAAGAGAAATCTTTTGTAAATAAGGCCAAATCTCTCTTGTTTACCTTGTGCTTATCTCAGGAGGAAGGGATTTAGTAAATACAAATTAAGAGTTACAGATACAAGAGAACTCTGGTGGTCTAGTGGCAAGAAGCACTGCAATCCCAGAGGTATGTGGTTCAAAGCCACCAGAAGTTCTGCTGGAGAAGGAGGGGTAGTCTCCTCCTATACCAGTCAGATCTGATTTGACAGTACACACAATAATAAAAAATATGGAAACACCCACAGTCTGCCTTGACGTTTAATCTCTGTGAAGCCCAAGTTCTGCCTGGTGCTACAGGGGGAATTCTAGCTTATACTATGCCTCCCTCATCTCCTGATGCAGCACTTGGTTAAATATTAATATTAAATCTGATATTCAGCTTCCCACAAGAGCCTCTGTACCAAAATGAATTGTCTGACAGGGAACTGTTTTAGGAGACGGAATATGATCAAGAACCAATAGTAATAGAAGACGTTCAAGCTGTACTGAAGGCATTGGCAAGAAATAAGGTCCCAGCAATTGATGGGATTCCAGTTGACCTTTTTCTGGAAACAGTCCTGTTGAGTCATGCTCATCAATCTCTGCCAACAAGTATGGAAAACAGCAACATGGCCAACTGACTGGGTGGGATCCATATTTGTTCTTATTCCCAAGAAAAGTGATCTAAGAGACTCTGGAAATTCTCAAACACTAGTTAATATCACACGCAGCTAAAATCTTGATGCAGGTAATTTTTAAATGGCTCAAATAGTATATCTACAGGGAACTGCCAGAAATTCAAGCTGAATCCGAAAGAGGCTGTGGCAGGAGATATATCATTGTTGATGTCAGATGGATCTTGGCTGAAAGTAGAGAATACCAGCAAGACGTTTGTTATTGTTATGTGCCATTCAATCCACTATGAGTCAGTCGAAGCTGTGAGCAATAACTCTGAACCCTGTTCTATTCTGAGTCAACCTGTCTCTGACACACCTGACCCCATTGCCACAGTCACCGTGTCAATCCATCTCATCCAGGGTCTTCCTCTCCTCTAGTGGCAAGGAGCTGCAACTACAACCCCAGAGGCGCACGGTTCGGACCCACCAGATGCTCTGCTGAGGAAGGAGGGACAATCTCCTCCTGTACCAGTCAGATCTGATTTGACGGTACACTCACACAAAAATAATAAAAAACAAACAAACAAAAAAAAACAACCCTCTGCCTTCCAAGTATGATATCCTCCAAGGACTGTTCCATCCTGGCAACATACCATAAATATGTGAGATGGAGTGTCAAAATCCTTACCTCCTGATTTTAACCTGTCCAGAACAGACCTGTTTGTTCTCTTGGCAGTCTGTGGTATGTTCAGTACTCCTCTCGAGCACCACAACTTTAAGGCATTAATTCTTCTGTCATCCTTAGTCATTGTCCAGCTCTCAGATCCTTAGCAATCAATGAGGAAGACCATGGTCTGGATCAGGCACACCTTAGTTTCTAGACTGAATTGTTGCCTTGTGCTTTATTAATTGTGCAAAAGTGTTTGTGTGGGTCATAACAAGTTATGGGGAAAATTAAGAATGGAAATCCCAGAATACTTAATTGTGATTATGCAAAACCTATACACAGACCAGAAGCAGTTATCCAAACAGAACAATGGAACACAGCATGGTTTAAAATCTGGAAAGGTGTGCATCAGAGCTGTATCCTTTCTCCATAACTATTCAGTCTGCATGCTGAGTAAATTATTCGAGAAGGTGGACTATGTGAAAAAGAATGAGGCATTAGGGTCAGAGGAAGACTAACCAACAACCTGTGTCATGCAAAGGACACAACCTTGCTTACAGAAAGTTATTGTTGTTATGTACCATCAAGCTAACCCTCCAGTGTTTGTTTTAAATTTCTTTTTGATTATTATTATACTATTATACTAAAGAGCTGAACAGAAGATTCCAAAAGGCAGCACCAGATGACAAAGCAAAATATTACAGTGTGCGAGGAGCTAGAGTCGGAAAATCAAAAGGGCCGAACTCATTCAGCATTTCTTAAGCTCAAGGAACTGAAGAACAAATTCAAACCTCGAGTTGCTATAATCAAGGATGCTTTCAGCAGAATGTTGAACGATCCAGGAAGTATTAAAAGGAGATGGAAAGAATATACTGAGTCATTGTATGGAAAGGAATTGGCAGACACAGAAGAATTTAGTGAAATAGCATTTGAGCAAGAGCCTATGGTGATGGAGGAAGAAGTTCAGGCTGCTTTGAAGGAAATAGCAAAAAATAAGGCCCCAGGAATAGATGGTATACCAGTTGACATATTTCAGCTAACAGATGCTGCCCTGGATGTGCTCACTAAGTTGTGCCAAAAAATCTGGAGAACAACCACTTGGCCAACTGACTGGAAGAGATCTTTATTTGTTCCCAACAGAGTGTGAAGTCTATAGAACAGTATCATTGATTTCACTTGCAAGCAAGATTCTACTGAAGATTATCAAAAAACGACTGGAACAGCACATCAGCAGAGAACTGCCAGAAGTCCAGGCTGGTTTTAGAAGAGGTCGTGTTACTAGGGATATTGTAGCTGATGTTAGGTGGATCTTAGCTGAAAGCACGGAATACCAGAAGAATGTCTATCTCTGTTTCATTGATTATGCAAAGGCGTTTGACTGTGTGGACCATAACAAACTGTGGCTGACTCTGAGAAGAATGGGAATCCCAGAACATTTAATCATGCTAATGAGAAACCTATACTTGGACCAAGAGGCAGTCATCAGAACAGAGCAGGATAACTCTGCATGGTTCAAAATTGGGAAGGGTGTACGCCAGGGATGTATCCTGTCTCCATACCTTTTCAACCTGTATGCAGAGCAGATTATCCGAGAGGCTGGGCTCTATGAGGAGAATTGTGGCATCAGGATTGGTGGAAGATCTATTAACAATCTGCATTATTTAGATGACACAACCCTGCTTGCTGAAACTGAGGAGGCCCTCATGCACTTGCTGCACAATTTCCTCCCTTCCCCTACCCTCCAGTCCACTTTGCTATGACCTCTTATTTTGGACTATTGTACAAAAAATACCTAATCAGATATTTCATTTACACAGTTCTTTCCCTCATCTGTTTCAATGCAATGTTTATTATTTATCCTCTCTTTTCTTAATTTCCCCCCAACTCCCATGACTGTCCTGTTTTATAACAGTTGTGTTATGCAGTATTTGTCCTTTTGTTACTGAGATACTTCACTCCACATAATGTCCTCCAGGGTCACCCATTTTTTATAATATTTTATTAGTTCCTTGTTTTTCAGTGCTGTGTAGTATTACATTGCGTGAATATACCACATCTCTATCTATTAATTTGTTGATTTGCACTTGGGTTGCTTCCATCTCTTTGCTATTGTGAGCAACGCAACAATAAATATGTGTGTGCATATATCTGTTTGGGTGTCAGTCCTAGTTTTTTAGAGTATATTCCCAGTAGTAGCACAATTGCTGGATCAAATGGTATTTCTATTTCCAACTTTTTGAGAAAGTGCCATACTGCCTTCCAGAGTGGCTGCACCATTTTACACTCCCACCAACAGTGAATAAGGATTCCAGTTTCTCCACAAACTCACCAGCATTTGTTGTTTGCCATCTATAAAATTTTAAAGAGCAAAGGAGTAAGTTTAAAGACTAAGGTGTGCCGATCTAATTCATGGTCTTTTCAATGACTTCCTATGCAGCTGAAGACACAGTTGACTCATTGGCATCTAAGAACAACATTCTATTAAGACCACCTCATTGCTAGTAAGCCACGTAACTTCAGAACACCTTCCTGCTTCTACTCCTGGAGTTCTTTCAACTTTCTCCTCCCAGAAAAAGGTGCATTAGCTAATTTTGTGAAGGAATTCTTTGTGTGCTACAAATTGTTATAACTCCACTACTAACTCAAGGTCAGAAGTTCAAGTTCACCAAGAATTGCCTTGGAAGAAAGCCTGAAGATCTGTTATTGTTGTTGTTAACTACTGTCAAGTCAGAACCGACCCATAGCTGACCATCCAGGGAGTTTTCACAGACCGACAGTGACTCGCACCAGAGAGGATTGCCGGTCTGTCTTCCACAGAACAACTGATAGTTTCGAATCGCGTTTTTAGCAGCACAATTTACCACTGAGCCACCAGCGCTCTCTAAAAATTTTCCCAAAAAATCAGTCCCTGAAAACACTACGGGGCATGATTTTACCCTGATCCATATGGGTCTACGTGAGTGAACCGCCTGGAAGGCCACTTGGTATGTGTGTGTGGGTGGTGGTGGTGGTGGTGGTGGTGTATTTTTTTGGGTCGTTCTGTTTGCTTCGTTTTCTGTTTAGTGGAGGGAAGTAATTGGACTATAATTGGACCCCGCCTAACACCTTAGGATGCAGGTAAGCTGAAAAGACAAGACTGGGAAGCAGGGCCCACGTTATTTGGAGGTCAGTGACGAAGGCCCACGCTCTGATAGGATGCTCTGTCACCGGGCAGAAATGAGCCATCAGAACCTCCTCCCAAAAGCTCTACTTCTCACATTACTGGGTTTACGCTTTACTGGTGACTGGAAACTTTTCAGACGCTCCCTTGGCCGCCTGCCCGGGCGAAAGTAGAGTGTCACTTGCAACCAGCTCCCTGGGCCCCGAGGATGAAGGGCGCAGGCCCAGGCCAGGCGGCGGCTGACGGAGGCAGGCCCGGAGTGGAGGGGGCGGCGTGGAGGAGGCGGAGGCCGGCGGTCAGCTCTGTTTGGGTTCGACTGCCATGTCCCGCCAGGCAAAGGATGACTTCGTGCGGCACTACACGGTCTCGGACCCCCGGACCCACCCCAAGGGCTACACCGAGTACAAAGTGACCGCCCAGGTGAGGTGGGACCCAGCGGGTGGCTTTACCATTTTAACAAGAGGTGGACCCTGTTCTACCTTAAGGCAAGATGCTTGAAAATGCTCCCATTTTGGACGACAGAAATCAATTTCCCTTCACAGGGAGTCAGGGAAGACCCTTCCTGTACGCCTTTAACTGTAAGGGGGCGGGGTCATGGGTAGGCAGTGCTCCTTTTAAAAGGGCGTGGACCGCAGTTCACGACCAACAAGCTATGGGTGCTCACGCCCATATGGAGTCTGGGTATCCAGCTGTAAATGCCTCGAAATTAGCGTAAACACTCTAGTTTAGCCCAAAGATTAGGTGGCTCTTCAAACTCTTGGTGTAGGTTTCGTTTATTGGTTGGTTTCTTGCATATCAATCTTTTGAAGAGTTTATTTTGATAAAAGTATTGTCAGTGGTTTAAGAAAACTGTACAGTTCAAAAAGACAATCTTCAATGACCATAGCAGGAAATCTATCAGTAAAAGACAGTTAAAAGCTGAAGCAGTAAATTAACATGTTAAAACATTATATCGAGGAATGGAAGAAACCATGAAAAGAATTTAAAATAGACACAGGATCACAAAAACTCTAGAATGATAACCATGAACCTGGGAACAATACTGGTCTCCAGGGAGAGAAGAACTGTGTGGCTGAAGGCAGGGGTAGGGGGAAGAAAGACATGGAGTTACCTATTTTTGGTACCTTTTAGAGTTCTGTACTAGTAAACTGGTCCGTGGGTAACTATTAAGGAGGCTCAAAACCATAAAGACACTTCCAAGCAATTCATGCACGAAGTGTTTGAGGTTTAAACCGTGTTTTCCCCAGATCGTTGGCTATGTTTCCCTCATGCTTGAAAATACAAAGATCTGCACTATTCTAGAGTGGGAAGGCTGTGGCAAAACTATATCCTTTCCCAGACACATTTCTCTTGGTTTTTTTTTTTAATTAATTTATTTCTTTATTTCATGTGTGTACCGTCAAATTGGATCTGACTGGTACAGGAGGCGATTGTTCCTCCTTCTTCAGCAGAGCATCTGGTGGATTTGAACCGCGCACCTCTGGGATTGCAGTGCAGTTTCCTGCCATTAGGCCACCAAAGCTCGCCTCTCTTGGGTTTTTTAAACCAAGTAGCAAACACTGGTTTTATATTTTTTTTTTACGATGTCTAAAAGGAAAATGTGCAACAACAGAAAAAAATTAAAACATTTTCAGTGTTATAAAAAAGAGTTCTTAACACTACACTGCTTGCTGAAACTGAGGACTTGAAGCACTTGCTGCAGAAGGTCAAGTACTATAGCCTTCATTACGAATTGAAGCTCAACATCAAGAAAACAAAGATTCTCACCACTGGGTCAGTTGGCAGCATCATGATAGATGGTGAAGAGATTGAGGTTGTTGACACCTTCAGTTTGCTTGGCTCCACCTTCAACACTCTTGGTACCAGCAGCCAGGAAATTAAAAGACAAATTGGATTGGGAAAGTCTGCTGTCAAGAGAACTCTCCAATGTACTGAAGAACAATGATGTCAGTCTGGAGACTAAGGTGCACCTGATACAGGTCGTGGTCTTTGTAATTACTTGCTATGCATCAGAGAGCTGGACAATGACTAAGGAAGATAGAAGGAGAATTGATGCCTTTGAACTGTGGTGCTGGAGAAGAGTACTGAATATACCACGGACTGCTAGGAGAACAAACAAGTTCGTCCTGGAGAGGGTGAAGCCATGCTACTCCTTGGAGGCAAGGATTCTGAAGCTTTGTCTGACCTATGTTGGACATGTTGCAAGGTGCAATCCTTGGAGAGAGATGTCATGCTTGAGAGGGTGGAGGGACAGCACAAGAGAGGAAGACCCTTGATGACATGGATTGATTCAGTCACTGGGGTAAAGGGGATAGGTGTGACATAGACAATAAGATTGGCAAGGCAGGGTTTTGGTCTGTTGTACATAGAGTCGCTGTGAGTCACAGGTGACTCGACAGCACATAACAACAAAAACATTTTATGATATACATTATTATTCGTCTTAGTTTTATAAATAGAATGCAGTTATACATAAAAACATTGCATTTAAAAAAGGAAATAATGTACACACAACTTCTCATTCTTGTTCCTCTTCTTCATAGAGGTGGGACCATTATTACAAGCTTCTTACTTATCCTTATAGATAAATGCTGCATTTATAAGCAAATACAAAGTGTCCCTGCCATCCAAAAGTACTTCGGACATGTTGTGAGGAGAGACCGGTCCTTGGAGAGGGACATCGTGCTCGGGAGGGTGGAGGGACAGCGCAGGAGGGGAAGGCCCTCTATGAGGTGGATTGATTCAGTGACTGGGGTAATCAGGATGGGAGTGTCAGAGACAGTGCGATTGGCACACGACAGAGCAGAGTTTAGGGCTGTTGTACACAGGGTCGCTATGAGTCGCAGGCGACTCGACGGCCCATAACAACAACAACAACAACATCCAAAAGTAGTGTTTTTTTGAAACATTTCATAAGCAGAAATTATGTAAAGTGAAGAAGCAATTGCCATTCATTTTTATGGGGAAAATGTTTTATTTTGCCAAATAAACAGCCTACCAAATCAGACCAAATAACACATAAAACCAAATAGAATACTGCTAGTGTTCAAGGAGCCCTGGTGGCATAATGTGTTGAGCTGCCATGAGAAAGGTCAGCAGTTTGAATCCACCAGCGACTCCACAGGAGAAAGATGGGCAACCTCCCAGTGCCACTCACTGCCCAGCCTGAGTGCCTCTTGACAGATGAATGCAAAACAAACATGAGCTACTTGTTTCACATTTTTTTCCACCAAAAAAAGGGAAAAAAAGACTCCTCTTTAGATTTCTTTCACTTACAGAAAACAGGTCCTGATGTTAGCTCTTTCGTAAAACCAAGTGACGAAAAGTAGGCTCCCAAAAAGGACCAGATACCTGGACAAGTATCTACTTCAATAGTGATTACAGCTATTATGTGCAGACAGTAGTGTCTGAATCTAGCTTTTTTTACTTGCTGGTTTTCCTTAATGTTTTGTTGTAGCTTGAAATTTTGTTGTTGTTTAACTTTAACATTTTTGTCTTTTGTGTGTGTGTGTCATTTACAGAAAGTAATAGGCACAGCCCAGTGAATTTTTACATATGTATACATCTGTGCAAATTACCCCCTAGCTCAAGATACTGTTTCCATCCCCCTAGAAAGGCCCTTTGCTCCAGGAGTCCCCTCCCACAGAGGTCACCCCCATTCTGACTTCTGTCACTATATTAGTATTGCAGGTTGTTGAGCCTCATACAAATGGAATCATAGAGTAGATACTCTTTTCTGACTGGCTTTTGTTGCTCCATAGAATTTTTTTTTTATTTCTCCATCTTGTGCATATATACTTTGTTCTTTCTCGTTGTTACATGGTATTCCATTGTGTGAATGTTTTGAGTATTTTGTTGCTTGTTCTTCTGCTGTCAAACCTTTGGATTGCATCTACAATTGTTATGAATAAATTTGTGGGAAGAGTGGAGTTGCTGGGTTAGTAAGGCAGCCATGTGTAGCTTTACTAGAAAGTGTGTGAATGTTTTTCAACCTAATTTTGCCTTTTTATGCTCCCGTTTCTACCAACTCTTGATATTGTTGGTATCTCATTTTTCCCACTAAGACTGGATTTGTGGCAGCTCAGCGGGATGTTCATTTGCATTTTTCCATGATTAATGATGTTAAATATATTTACAATATCCTGTTGACCATGTAACAGTCTTCTTTTGTTAATTTACACATTTATAAAACTCAGGTTATTTTTTCACTATTGATTTCTATCCCGTGGACTGCCAAATAAACAAACAGATTTATCTTGATTAAAGCACAACCACACTGCTCTTTGGAGGTCAAGACGGCAATACTTCATCTCACACTATGTTCAGCATGTTGCTAGGAGAAGCTCCTCCGTGGAAAGAGACCTCGTGCCTGGAAAGGTGGCGGGTCCGCAAAGGAGAGGAAGACCCTCAACTAGATGGACTTACCCAGCGGCTGCAGCAGAGAGCTCAAGTGTGTCAGAGATGATGAGGACGGCGCAGGGCAGGGCAGGGTTCAGATCTGCTGTTCACAGGGTTGCTCTGAGTCATACTCGACAGCACCTAACAATAACAATAATTTGTTAAAAACCAACAAGAATTGATTTATCAGAGTTCTTTATTATGGATGTGAGTTCTTTGTGAAGTAGGGATTCTTCTGTAGTTTTTAAATAGCACTTCTTAAAACAAATAAATAAAAAATAAATAGCACTTCTTCTGCCCAAAATATTTTAGACACATCTCTATTATAAAATGCAAAGAAACCTTCAAACTCATTGCCATTGAGTCAGAAGCAACTCATCGCTGACCATCTAGTGGGTTTTCAGAGGCTGTAGATTGCAAAGGAAATCACCCATCTTTCTCTTGTGGAGCAGGTGGTGGATTTGAACTGCCTGCCTTTAAGTTGTCAATCTCCTGTTTACCTGCTAGGCCACCAGTTTTTTGGTTTTGGGGTTTTTTTATAATTTTATTTTATTTTATTATTTTGTGTGTGTACCATCAAAGTGAAACTGACTGGTACAGGAGGAGATTGCCCCTCCTTCTCCAGCAGAGCATCTGGTGGATTCAAACCGTGTACCTCTGGGATTGCATGCAGCTTCCTGCTGCTAGGCCATGAGAGCTCCCTTTACGCCACCAGTTTTAATCATAGTGAGTCAGATGGATCATTTGACTTGTTGTGTGACCTCATGTCATTATGTCCCCACTCTGAGCTTCTGTCCTCTCGTTTCACTGTGACAGCTGCGTCTGCCTTACCAGGTTGTTGGATAATGAACAAAAGAAGTTTTGGAAACTGACAAATGCCCAAAACTGTTATTTTTCAATGATTATGGACATAATGTAATGAGAGCCGGTGTCCTCCTTACCCCAGAGCCAAGCCTGGCCCTTCAGGAGCCACCAGCCCGGTGACGGTGTTCCCTGCGCCCAGTGTTCCCATGCGGGCTTCCTCCTTTCATAAGGTTGTGACACTTGGGACAGAACTTCTTTGTTCTTTGGTCCCTGAAGGAGATTTGGGGACTTGGCTTTTTGAAGGAACAGGGACAAAAGGCACTGGCTGTGGATGGAGCCAGCTGGGCAGGCAGCCCATGTGACAGATGAGGAAACTGAGGTTCAGGGTAGACATGCTGCCCAAAGTTCTACTCAAAGCCTTGAAGCCAGGATACTGGTAACAAATGACCAAAGGATACTGTGCCTTGGAGGAGGCGGGAGGGGAAGAGGTTCCCAGCTTTCGCAGGGTGGTGGGGTGTCCACAGTCATCTCTGATCTCACCTGATTCTTGCCTCTTTCCCCTAGTTCATCTCAAAGAAGGACCCAGAGGACGTCAAAGAGGTGAGGCCCGTGGGGTAGGAGGACCCTTGCCCAGTGCCAGCCACGGAGCAGCTAGTAACAGAGCAGACCCAGCCCTCCCTGTGGCCCTGCCCTGGGAGAAGGGGGCGCTGTGCCCTGGTCCCCAGCCCTGGATAGGGAGCTGTTCCCACCTGCCATCTAGGTCATACCTCTGTCCCTCAGGTGGTGGTCTGGAAACGGTATAGTGACTTCCGGAAGCTGCATGGAGACCTGGCCTACACCCATCGGAACCTCTTCCGCCGTCTGGAGGAGTTCCCTGCCTTCCCCCGTGCCCAGGTGTTTGGTGAGCATTGGCCTGGGTGCCCAGACCAAAGAGGGAGGGAGGGCTGGGTAAAGAGACTGGCTGGGGGGCTGTGAGAGTGCCAAGAGACACATTTCAGGGAGCAATGACTTGCTACCATTCAACTCATAGCGACCCTGTAAGACAGACTAGAACTGCCCCATGGGGTTTCCAAGGCCGTAAATCTTAACAGAAACACACTCTGAGAAGGGCTGCTGGGTCCAAACCACCAGCTCTTTGGTTAATGGTTGAATGTTTTCTGTCTTGAAGATGGTCCCATTTTACAGATGAGGAAATCAAGCCTCAGAGCTGCAGAGCTGTTGCTGCGTCTCAGGGCCACTAGCTTATCAGCCCCATTTTCAAGATGAGATAACTAACTGAGGCTGGAGATGAAGGGATTGAGCCTGTGAGAGGCAGAAACAGTGTTGGAGATGAAGGGATTGAGCCTGTGAGAGGCAGAAACAGTGTCCCCCACAGCTAGTAATTGCTACCCCAGCTTCCAGCCTGGCAGCTAGGAGCCACGTGAGGCTCAGCCCACTGAGAAGTAACAGTTAAGACTATAGAAAAGTGAGTGGAGAAAAGGAAATGTAGTGGCCCTGCGCTGCTAACCTTAAGGTTAGAGATTCAAGTGCAACAATGAATGAATGGAAACCCAAAATCTCTGTAAATGTTTATGAAAATTAATAAAATATAATTATAGAAAAAAAAAAGGTTAGCGATTCAAGTCCATCAGTCACTGATGGAGGGTAGCCAGGGGTTGGAATTGACAGCAGTGCATTTTAGGTTTTGGTTAAGTGTAGAATACACACTGGGAAAAATGAAAAGAACTCATTATTGATTTTTTTTTATAATTTACAGAAAAGAATGAACATTTGTGAGTTGTAGTAGGTTAAACAAAATATATAGTAAAACTTTTGAAAGCTGGGACCTATGTAAGGTGGAAACCTGTCAGAGAAGGAAAGCACAAGTATTTTCCAATAATAGAGAGCACTAGAAAAGTGGTAAAAAGTAATAAATAGGTGAGCTCTGGTGGCCTAGTGGCAAGAAGTTGCACTGCAATCCCAGAGGTACGTGGTTCGGATCTACCAGATGCTCTGCTGGAGAAGGAGGGGCAGGTTTCTCCTGTACCAGTCAGATCTGATTTGACAGTACACACAAAAAAGGATTATAAAAAAAAGTAATAAATAGAAAAGTTGGGTGACGAAAAAGGTAATATACAATAAGCAGTGATACGACATTGTAATTAATTATACAAATCAGTTGTAATGAATGTTAAAAGATAAAATATGTATGAATGGTTAAATGAAAAACCAGCATGATTTGTAAATGTTCACTAAAAAATAAATTATTTTATAGCTATCTCATGGCTTAGTGGGTAGAGTGCTCCCTAAGTGGGCCTAGGGCTGCCAATTCAAGGCAGGCGGTTCGAATCCACCAGCTGCTTCAGGGGAGACAGATAGGCAGTCTTCTCCCAGGTGATTTACAGCTGTGAGTTAGTTCTAAATCCATGATAGTGAGTTTGAGTTTTATTCACATACATACACATGTGAATATTGGATAGTTTTGTTAGGGAATAAAAACCAAAAGCTACTGCTGTGGGGTCTCAGCTCCCACTCCTGGAGACCCTCCATTCGTTTATGAAGCTGTAAATCTTAATGGGAGGAGACCACTTTTTCTCCCACTGGTAGATTTGAACAGTCGACCTTTTGGTTAGTAGCCAAACACCTAACCTACTAAAATGCTCTTATTGATGATGAATATCAAGTCATTCTTCTTCAGTTTGTCGTTTCCAGCATAGTAGACCGTGTTGTTGTTATTATGTGCCGTTGAGTTGGAACTGACTCATAGCTGACCCTCCAGTGGGCTTTCAGAGGCACTGAATTGCACAGGGGTAGACTGTCTGTCTTTCTGCCGCGGAGCAGCTGGTGGATTCAAACTGCGTGCCTTTGGGCTGGTAGCGCAGCATGGCTCCCTATCACTAAGCCCCCAGAGCTCCCAGCCCTCTTCAGAATGGTCAGGACCTGTCCCTACCTGTCCCTACCTGCCTAGGTCTCTAGGCCTTTCATTTCCTTTTTTTGCAGGGTCCAATTTTTGTAGATTCATACTTCATACAGTCCATGTTTCTGTTATGAATGGACTTTTGCAGTTGTCTCTTCACATTTCAAGCTGCGCAAATGCAAGTCGTGAAAGCTGTCCTCCAGCCACGCGCTTACGGCGGCTCTGCTGTGAGGCAGCAGCTCCTCCCCAGGCAGCGGCTGAAAGGAGCACCTTCCGACTTGAGGGGTTCACCTTCCGACTTGAGGGGTTCACCTTCCGACTTGAGGGGTCCACCTTCCGACTTGAGGGGTCCACCTTCCGACTTGAGGGGTTCACCTTCCGAC